ACAGCGCGTGTAAAATACGTTATTCACACGAAATTCGGACACGAGCTGCAGGACGACTGTAGCGCTTAAGACTCGGAGATACGTACATCAAAACATGGTATGATAAAACGAGTTTTCAGCGAACAGAGTTAGCTCAAATTAATGAAATAAATATGGTATTACGTTTGGGGCCTACTTCTAAACACGTAATCTAATATGGCATTTGACACGCCATCCACTATTGCGCCCAAATGTATACAGCGCTAGACGCGTCATCCAATATAACACCCTACAAATAATCCAATATGGCGCTAGACGCGTCATCTATTAAACATCATGGCAGTTGTCAAAGATGACTTCGACACGTAATCAAGTAAGGCGCTTGAGAGGTCATTCAATAAAACGCTCAACATGTCGTCAAATGTGACGCTCAACACGTAGTCTTGGAACTCGGTACGTAATATTGTGATAGGCACGGCATCAAATATGGCGCTAGACATGTGATCCAATATGGCGATCGGCACGTTATCCTATATTGCGCTCGACACGTCACCTAATAGTTGATGATGCACTTAATCCAATATGGTACCTGACACGTCATCGAACATCGTGATACGGAAATACGGAATCCATATGTTTCTCTACATGTTACTTACCCAACATGGCGATGATGGCAGTTCATTTGTTTAATCATAAATTATATATATATATTATATATTATTGGTTTAACTGTAAATTATTTATAATATATATAACATACTATAAAGCATATCATAAAATGTCTTTAATTTCGTACATAGCCTGAAAGGGGATCGATTTTGAGTAGTACTCTGAGAAGTTTGCACGCGGTCGCCTGCATCTCATAGCTATACGGGACTCTAGTATGTATTTCTCAAAGCTCCATTATTTTCACTTCTAACTAACAATGAGGAACGTGTGAAAATCGGCAATCCAGATGCGACATGGCAACTTGTGGTTAATAAAACGTAGATACACGTCGACATGATTTGAATTCTTTGATAATAATGAAGTTGGAGCGAACTCGAAGAAAGACATATGGGAAAATATTAACATAGACAGTCTATTTCAAGGCGTATTTGGGCAACCTTGTCAAATAGATATCCAATTTGGTTTCGACATAATTAATTGGTATTGCAATTATGACGCCCGATTCGGCTACGTCTACACCATAAAGCATTTGTTAGTTTGCGGTATCTCGAGCGAGTAGCCGGCATCACAGTCACGGTGACGTTCCATATTTCACGTTATATAGTGTTGTTATAGTGTGTTGTACTATCGTTCAGGTTCAAAATATTGATACTTTACCGCCAACGCTACGATAAAGACTTTCTGTTTTCCACAATGACATAAAAACATCTGATTTTGACAAGAAAATTCAGAAACACCTTAAGAATGATTCATAACGAAATGTATTACACATGAACAGCAATGATAACTCTCATAATTACCGATTATATGAGAATAATACAAAAAAAATTGACATGAGACGCACACAGCGCGTGTAAAATAAATTGGCGGGGGGG